CTCTGCTCTCGTTGACTGCTCTCATTCCTGAGCCTTTCATCCTCCTTAATAACACAGGGGCTGTATAACTGGAGGTGGGACAAATCTACGGTGTCCCGGAAAGCCTCATCAACATACATCTCTGCCTCCCTTAGCTCCTCCAGTTCCGCCACCCTGGCCTCCAAAGCCCGCACTTGGTCTCTGAGGGTCAGGAGCTCCTTGCACTGAAAGCACACATATGCCACCCGCCCACAGAGTAGGTAATCATATATGCTGCACTTGGCACAATAAACTGGATAGCCCGCAAACTGCTGCTGGGCTTCCGCTTGCATTCTCTCCTACAGCTACCTAGGTTAATGATAGGGTTATTGTTTAAATCACAAAGTTTTGATTATAGTTTAAGTTAAAGGTTTTAAAGAATTTCAAGTGTACTTTGCCCCTTCCCACTCCCCTTCCAAACTCCCTCTCGAAACTCCCTGTTAGTGGCCCCTATTCGCAAAGCTCCCTGGTCACTTGCTCACTGCTTTATAAAGCCCTGGCCTTCCTGATAGCCCCGCCCTCTGACTAAGGCTAATGAAGAGAGGCTTCTAGATTTCAAACCTTGGTTAGAAGCTCACAGCTTCCAACTGCTGGCTACAGCACACGGTCCTTTAAACAAACAAACAAACAAACAGACAGACAAGCACAAGCTCAGCACACAGCAAGTAACCCCCGAAACACAAACACACACTATAGACAGCCACTTACCCCAAGGGTCCTGTATTTGCTCCTCCTTCACCTGGAGAACTCCCTCTCGAAATTCCCTGTTAGCAGCCCCTGTTCTCAAAGACACAAACACGTTTCATTATATTCACTGTATGATCTGATGAGGAGCCTAATCCTGCTCCTTCTCATGTAAATCTTTTCATTGATTTTATTGGGAGAAAAACTGGGCCCTTGATTACATAATTATAATTCTCTGGCAAGAGCACAACTTGATATACCTCCAAATGTTTGATTGTAAAGTTTATGTTTTCCCCTTGGTTTTGTCCTATGAAACAGACACAAGGGTTTGCACATGTGATTCTGTCCCAGAAGAGAGACGCCTCAAGGAAGACACAGGAAACCTCTCCCTCATACATGTTATAGTGATACAAAATCAGTGGAGGACCAGATCCAAATTCACTGAAGTCAGTGGGAGACTTTCCATTCACTTCAGTGGATTCTGAATCAGTCACTTGACACCAGATGCACAGAAGACCGTAGCCATCTCAAGGTGCCTAAATCCAGCATTGAGGCATCACTGACATTCTCAAACCCAAATCTCAACTACCAACTAACCCCGTAGGTGACCGAAGTCTGCATGGTGTCTACGTTTCTCTGGTCAGCAGGCACAAAGCCAACTAAATCCTGATGCAGCTCCACAGCTAATGAACAGCTCAGAGCTCTCATGTGTAACCCCCAGTGGCTGCAAAGTGGTATTCACAAAATAGGCGTCTCCCTGTCTATCCTGCCAGGGTGGCTGATCTCATAGCCTTGGTTAGAGCTGGCCAACAGGCTCAGGTCTGCACACAATACCCAATAGCCCAATTACAAAGGAATCTGACACAGCTGGGTGAGTAGGCAACAAATTGGCAGATGAAATTCAAGGTTGATAAATGAAAAGTAATGAACATTGGAAAACATAATCCCACATACACATACAAACTGGTGGGGTTTAAATTAGCTGTTTCAACTCAAGAAAGAGATCTTGGTGTCATTGTGGATAGTTCTCAGAAAACATCCACTCAATGTGCAGTGGCAGTAAAAACAGCCAACAGAATGTTAGGAATCATTAGGCAAGGAATAGATAATAATAAGAAAATATCATAATGCCACTATATAAATCTATGGTACTTCCACATCTTGAATACTGTTGGCAGTTCTGGTCACCCTATCTCAAAAATATATATTAGAATTGGAAGAAGTAGACAGAAGGGCAACAAAAAATGATTAGAGGTACAGAACAGCTTCCGTACGAGGAGAGATTAAGAAGACTGGGACTGTTCAGCTTAGAAAAGAGATGACTAAGGTGGGATACGATAGAAGTCTATAAAATCATGAATTGCTGAAGAAAGTGAATAAGGAAACATTATTTACCCTTTCACATAACACAATAAACAGGGGTCACCCAATGAAATAAATAGGCAGTGGGTTTAAAACAAACAAAAGGAATTACTGCTTCCCAGAATGCACAGTCAACCTGTGAACTTGTTGCCAAAGTATGCTGTAAAGGCCAAAAATATAATGGGGTTCAAAAAAAAAAAAGAGATAAGTTCATGGAGGATAGCTCCTTCAATGGTTATTAGCCAAGATGGTCAGGGATGCAAGCCAGTGCACTTGGTGTCCGTAAGCCTCTGACTATCAGAAGCTGGGACTGGATGTCAGGGAATGGATCATTAGATAAACTGCCCTCTTCTGTTCATTCCCTCTGATGTATCAGGCACCGGCCACTGTCAGAAGCCAGGATACTGGGCTGGATGGATTATTGTTCTGACACAATATGGCCGTTCTTATGTTGCTTCGCTGGTTCAGGGGTGAAAGTGAGCCAATACGGGCCGGTACTCCGTAAGAACCCACACCGGCCCATACCCAGCCCACATTAAAGCGCAGCACTTTAATGTCCCTGCCCCTTTTGCCTCCCCTGTTGGCAGCCCTGCCAGTAGGATCCGTACCGGCAGGGCCGCCGACAGGGGGTGGGGGAATCCCCAAAGCACTGCCGCGGCAAAGGACCACTTTAACATTGCTGCTCCTTCCCCGCGTCGGCGGTCCGTACCAGCAGGGCCACCGACAGGGGAGGCAAAAGGGGCAGGAACATTAAAGTATTGTGTTGTTCATATGCTGGGTTATATTTCTTGTAAATAGATAAGTAGCATTAGTCATTTTCCAAAGAGACAGCATCTGTATGTCCCAAGCACAGGGCGCTGAAATGAAGAACCTAGGACCCAATGCATGCCAGGAGAGAAGACAAGCCACTCGATTAGCAAGCTGCACATAGGAGGCTTAAGCCACAAGGCGGGGGAAAGGGAGGGGAAGGAGACTACATGAAATACAATGTTGGCATTTCCCTCAGAGAGCTATCTCTGCAGCAGGGGGGACTGAAGGAGCCTCTAACTCCTGTGTGGCACAACAAAATTGGCTGGGAGTCAGGGGCTGCAGGGGATGGGGAATTCCCAGGGCTGGTGCAACCACTAGGCAAACTAGGCGGCTGCCTAGGGCGCCAAGTGGTTGGGGGTGGACAAAAGTGTACTCCGGGGTGGTGGTGGAGTGGAGGTGAGCTGGGGTAGGGGGGCACGGGGAGGGTCGCCTGCAGCAAGTAAGGGGGGGGCAACACACAGGGGAACCACTCCCCACCCCAGCTCACCTCTGCTCCACCTCCTCCCCGAGCATACCGCCCCGCTCTGCTTCTCTCCCCCCAGGCTTGCGGCGCCAAACAGCTGATTGGCACCACAAGCCTGGGAGGCGGGAGAAGTGGAACAGCGATGGCGTGCGCGGGGAGGAGGTGGAGCACAGGTGAGCTGGGTTGGGGAGCTGCCACATGGCTCCCCGGGCCGGGGGGAGAGCTGCCGTGGAGGGGGCGGGGAGCCTCAGGACAGAGGGGGGGTGGGAAGCTGGCGCAGGGGAGGCGCCTTAGGGCAGAGGGGGGACGGGGAGCTGTCACAGGCGGGGGGGGGAGCTGCTGCGGGGGGACACCTCAGGGCGGAGATGGGGTGGGGAGCTGCCATGGGGAGGGGAGCTGGGGAGGGCGCAAGGTGGAAGTTTCGCCTAGGGCGCGAAACATCCTTGCACTGGCCCTGGGAATTCCCCTGCTGCCAGTGACAGGTTTCATTCTGAACCCAGGCTGCAATCAAGTGGAGGTACTCCTCCCTTTTAATGGAGCTGGGAGCTCTAGCAAAATGAAAAAAACACCCACATATTTTCTACACTAGGTGTTAAGTCAGTATAACTACGTCGCTCAGGGGTGTGGATTTTCAATACCCCTGTGTGACATTGTTATACTGATGTAGATCTGTAGTGTACATCTAATTTAAGTTTCCTGGAAAGTTAATGGGACTTAGTCTTCAAAGTATCTAAGAACTTGTCTCCATGGGGACACTCAGGAAAGTAAATCTGGATCAACTTTTAAAATGGATTAGTTAAACCACAGTAAACACATGTGGACATTCTTATTCAGAATTAAAGTGGCCTTAATTTGATTTAGCTTAGTTCACAAATCAAATTCAGGCAACTTAAAATCTGAATAAGGATGTCCACACAAGGGGTTAATGAAATTTAACTAATTCACTTTACATTCAAACTTCAGTTAATTCAAATTAATTTTCCAGATTTTTTCTGTGTAGACAACAACTCAGTAACTTTTGAAAATGGGAGTCAAGATCCCAAATCATTTTGCCACTTTTGAAAATTTTATCCTTATGGAATAAAAAGTATTTTTTTCAACCTAAGTGTGGAAAGAAAAACATCTGTTCTCTGTTGTAAACAAATTGTTGCCATAATAACTATCACAAAGTTCTAGAGGTCCCTACCAGCCCCAGATTTCTTTGATTCTATGTCATTATGGCTCAAGGTTCTCCTGTTCTTAGGATGCTAACAAACTCTATTGTAAAATTAAGAATGCTTCAAAAGGGCTTATTAAAAAGTAGTTTAAATTACATTCTAACATCACTTTAATTTTTAGAAGATAGATTTAATAATACAGCTTCAAGAATTGGTATTTTAAAAGCAAATAAAGGGGAGAGTGATTATTATTGGTATCCCTTCTAACAACAGAGTCTGAAATCACTTCTGAAATCAGGAAACTGATCTCACAGTGACATGCATTAGACCATCTAATAGCTATCCAATGGAAGAAGTGGAAACTCCATTATTTGGGAGTTTTAAAACAATAATAGATAAAGCAATAAAATGTGCTGTGGAAAAGGGACAAGCCTGCGCTGGCTCCTGGGGAGACAGAATAATAGAGTTTGATAAATCTGCTTTCTCCAATTCTAGGCCTTTCTTACCTATAACTAAGACATCAATGATGATCTCTCTGTGAAATGAGTTGGCTGTGGCAGAACATACATATTTCCCTTCATCTTCCACCTGAATATTTTTCAGTTTCAGAGAAATATTTCCTTTCCCAAACTCCTTTCCTTTAAAAACTTCTGCCTTTTTTTCATATTTCTTCCTGAGCCATTCTCTGCTGTTGACTCCATTTGGAGACAAATAACCCATTGAGCATTTGTCATCTTGTGGATAAGAATTAACCAGGGGGCTGCTTTCATCATAGAGGTAGAGATAGATTGTCTTATCCTTCCCAGGTCCAACTTTCCTCCATTGCAGCTCCATGCTTGGGGGCAGATGTTTTGTAATCAGCCGGCAGGGAAGAATGGCATTTTCTCCAATTACAGCGGTAATGATGTCATGTTCTGCCTCCACATCAAAGAAACCTGAAAAATGTTCAGGGGGTTATAATTGAACCAGCACATAATGACTCATATTAATGTGTAAGAGAGAGTGAATGAAAAGAAGACAGCCCTAATTCTCCTCTTATGTATAATCTTTTTATAATAGTGTAAATTCAATAGCTTCGGGGGATTCACTCCTAATATACACAGAGATAGAGATAAGTAAAAAACCAATCAGAGCTATACTATCTTTTACCTCTGTGGTGATCTCAAAAATAGTATTTGAAAAGAAATGCCGAGTGGTACAGGTCTTCACTATGCTGCAGCAAAGGCTTGTCTACACTGTGGGGTAATGCGCACTACGGGAGAGTGATTAATAAAATGCACCAATGTGTTGTGCATTAATTGGTCTGTTTAGACCTTGACAATGCACACTAAAAGTTCCCTAGTGTGCTTTCCTGAATTACTGTTAACATACGAACATAAGAACGGTCATACTGGGTCAGAGCAAAAGTCCATCAAGCCCAGTATCCTGTCCTCTGACAGCAGACAATGACAGGTGCCCCAAAGGGAATGAACAGATAGGTTCTCATCAAATGATCCATATCCTGTCACCCAATCCCAGCTTCTGGCAAACAGAGGCTAGGGACACCATTCCTGCCCATCTGGCTAATAGCCATTGATGGACCTATCCTTCATGAATTTATCTATTTCCCTTTTGAACCCCATTATAGTATTTGTCTTCACAATACTCTTTGGCAAGGAGTTCCAGAGGTTGACAGTGCGTTGCGCAAAAAAATACTTGTGGTTGTTTTAAACATGCTACCTATTACTTTCATTTGGTAGCAACTTGTTTTTGTATTATGAAAAGGAGTAAATAACACTTCCTTATTTACTTTCTCTATACCAGTCATAATTTTACAGACCTCTATCATATCCCCCCTTAGTCACCTCTTTTCCAAGCTGAAGAGTCCCAGTCTTATTAATCTCTCCTCATATGGAAGCTGTTCCATATCCCTAATCATTTTTGTTGCCCCTTTTCTGAAACTTTTCCAATTCCAATATATCTTTTTTGAAATGGGGCGACCACGTCTGCACACAGTATTCAAGGTGTGGGGGTAACATGGATTTATATAGAGGCAAAATGATATTATCTATCTTATTATGTATCTCTTTCTTGATGATTTCCAACATTCTGTTCGCTTTTTTGACTGCCGCTGCATATTGAGTGGATGATTTCAGAGAACTATCCACAATGAAAAGGGGAATGCAGTGGGCGTGTTATTCTTTGCTTTTAGCAAAGCTTTTGATACGGTCATCCACAGTATTCTGGCCAGCAAATTAAAGAAGTATGGGCTGGATGAATGGACTATAAGGTGGATAGAAAACAGTCTAGTTGGCAGCCGGTATCAAGAGAAGTACCCCAAGGGTCAGTCCTGGGGCTGGTTTTGTTTAATATCTTCATTAATGATCTCGAAGATGGCATGGATTGTACCCTCAGCAAATTTGCAGATGAACCTAAATTAGGAGGGGTGGTAGATATGCTGGAGGGTAGGGATAGGATACAGAGGGATCTAGACAAATTAGAGGATTGGGCCAAAAGAAAGAGGTTCAAAACAGACAAGTGCAGAGACCTGCACTTAGGATGGAAGAATCCCATGCACTGCTACAGACTAGGAACCAAATGGCTATGCAGCAGTTCTGTAGAAAAGGACCTAGGGGTTACAGTGGACGAGAAGCTGGATATGAGTCAACAGTGTGCCCTTGTTCCCAAGAAGGCTAATGGCATTTGGGGATGTATAAGTAGGGGCATTGCCCGCAGTTTGAGGACGTGATCATTCCCCTCTATTAAACATTGGAGAGGCCTCATCTGGAGTACTGTGTCCAGTTTTGGGCCCCATACTACAAGAAGGATGCACATGACTTATGAAGCGAGGCTGAGGGAACTAGTATTGTTTAGTTTGCAGAAGAATGGGGGCGGGGCGGGGATTTGATAGCTGCTTTCAACTATCTGAAAGGGGGTTCCCAAAAGGATGGATCTAGACTGTTCTCAGTGGTAGCACATGACAGTAATGGTCTCAAGTTGCAGTGGGAGAGGTTTAAGTTGGATATTAGGAAAAACATTTTCACTAGGAGGGTGGTGAAGCACTGGAATGGGTTACCTAGGGAGGTGGTGGAATCTCCTTCCTTAGAAGTTTTTAAGGTCAGGCTTGACAAAGCCCGCGCTGGGATGATTTAGTTGGGGATTGGTCCTGCTTTGAGCAGGGAGTTGGACTAGATCACCTCCTGATGTCCCTTCCAAACCTGATATTCTATGATTCTATGAATGACTCCAAGATCTCTTTCTTGAGTGGTAACAGCTAATTTAGACCCCATCATTGTATATGTACAGTTATGATTATGTTTTCCAATGTGCATTACTTTGCATTTATCAACATTAAATTTCATCTGCCATTTTGTTGCCCAGTCACCCAGTTTTGAGAGATGCTTTTGTAGCTCTTCACAGTCTGCCTGGGACTTCACTATCTTGAGTAGTTTTGTATCACCTACAAATTTTGCCACCTCACTGTTTACTCCTTTTTACAAGATCATTTATGAATATATTAAATAGGACCGGGGCCAGTACAGATCCCTGGGGGACACCACTATTTACCTCTCTCCATTCTGAAAACTGACGATTTATTCATACAATTTCTTTCCTATCTTTTAACCAGTTACCAATCCATGAGAGAACCTTCCCTCTTATCCCATGATTGCTTATTTTGCTTGAGAGCCTTTGGTGAGGGACCTTGTCAAAGGCTTTCTGAAAATTTAAATACACTATATCCACTGGATCGCCTTTGTTTGCTTGTTGACCCCCTCAAGGAATTCTAGTAGATTGGTGAGGCATGATTTCCCTTTATAAAAAACACATTGACTATTTCCCAAGAAATTATGTTCATCTATGTGTCTGACAATTTTGTTCTTGACGATTGTTTCAACCAATTTGCCCAGTACTGAAGTGAGGCTTACAGGCCTGTGATTGCTAGGGTCACTGCTGGAGACCTTTTTAAAAATTGGCATTGTATTAGCTATCCTCCAGTCATTTGGTACAGAAGCTGATTTAAATGATAGGCTACAGATGACAGTTCGTAGTCATGCAATTTCACATTTGAGTTCCTTCAGAACTCTTGTGTGAATACCATCAGGTCATGGAGACTTATTACTGTTTAGTTTATCAATTTGTTCCAAAACATCCTCTAATGACACCTCAATCTGGGACAGTTTCTCAGATCTGTCACCCAAAAAGCATGGCTCAGGTTTGGGATTCTCCCTCACATCCTCAACAGTGAAGACCGATGCAAAGAATTCATTTAATTCCTCCGCAATGACCTTATCGTCCTTAAGTGCTCCTTTAGCATCTCGATTGTCCTTTGGCCCCACTGGTTGTTCAACAGGCTTTCTGCTTCTGATGTACTTAAAAATGTTTTTGCTATTACATTCGAGTCTTTGGCTAGCTGTTCTTCAAATTCTTTTTTGCTCTTTCTAATTATATTTTTACACTTCATTTGCCCGAGTTTATGCTCCTTTCTATTTTCCTCATTAGGATTTATCTTCCACTTTTTAAATGATGCCTTTTTGCCTCCCACTGCTTCTTTTACTTTGTTGGTTAGCCATGGTGGCTCTTTTTTGTTTCTCTTACTATGTTTTTTAATTTGGGGTATACATTTAAGTTGAGCTTCTATTATGGTGTCTTTAAAAAGTTTCCATGCAGCTTTCAGGGATTTTACATTTGGTACTGTACCTTTTAATTTCTGTTTCACTAACCTCCTCACTTTTGTGTAGTTTCCCTTTCTGAAATTTAATGCTACAGTGTTAGGCCACTGTGGAGTTTTCACCACCACAGGGATGTTAAATTTAATTATATTATGGTCACTATTACCAAGCGGTCCAGCTATATTCACCTCTTGGATCTGATCCTGTGCTCCACTTCTGACTAAATCAAGGACCAGCTGCTCTAAGAAGCAATCATTTAAGGTGTCAATAAACTTTATCTCAGCATCCCTTCCTGAGGTGATATGTACCCAGTCAATATGGGGATAGTTGAAATCCCCCATTATTATTGAGTTTTTTATTTTAATAGCCCTTCTAATCTCCCTGAGCATTTCACAGTCACTATCACCATCCTTTCAGGTGGTTGATAATATATCCCTACTGCTATATTCTTATTATTAGAGCATGGAATTACTATCCATAGAGATTCTATGGTACAGTTTGGTTCATTTAAGCTTTTTACTTCATTTGGTGCTAGGCTTTCTTTCACATATAATGCCACTCCCCCACCAGCACAACCTGTTCTGTCCTTCTAATATATTTTATACCCTGGTATTACTGTGTCCCATTAATTTTCCTCATTGCACCAGGTTTCTGTGATGCCTATTATATCAATATCCTCATTTAATACGAGGTACTCTAGTTCACCCATCTTATTATTTAGACCTTTTTAATTTTAAGTGCCAGCAATCTGGTTCCATATTGATTTAGGTTCTGGTTTGGTTTTGGCTTACCATATTATTTGTTTCAAACAATAATATGGTAAAAGAGACCTGGGAAACTTTAGTGAACACCAGCTCAGGTCTACATGGACTAATTAATGTGCAACCCTTTAATGAACTTTAGAAATCACACCCCACTAATGTGTATTTGTTCTCCGTGTAGGCAAGCCTTGAATGGCATGGTTGACCAGAAGGCAGGTGTGTTTAGTCTTATTTTGTAAGTAAGAGCAGGAATATTTGCTTTGACGGTACAACATCTCTTACCAGAAATTGCAATAACTTTTTTGCGGTGCCTCTTCAGCAAGGGGTTTATTATAATGCACGAGATAGTGTCAGAAGCAGTATCTGCTACCCTGAGTGTACTCTTGATTTGATACAGATCTGTAACATCTTTTTGGATTCTTGTTTCAGCCATAGCAGTTATGTTTTGTTCTGTGCTGTTAGTCCAGCGCACTTCAGGTTGTGGGTACCACCCTTGGGACGTACACCTCAGAGTGATTGAATTATTCTGCTGATGGTCTATAGTTAGGCGAGGTGCAGATCCAAAACCTAGAGTGAAAACCAATTTCAGAAAATGTTAAACAGGCTCAAGAACTAGCTAACAAACCAAACTAAGGGTAGGTCTACACTACCCACCTGAATCGGCGGGTAGAAATCGACCTCTCGGGGATCGATTTATCGCATCCCTACGGGACGCGACAATCGATCCCCGAATCGACGCTCTTACTCCACCAGCGGAGGTGGGAGTAAGCGCCATCAACAGGAAGCCGCAGAGGTCGATTTTGCCACCGTCCTCACAGCGGGGTAAGTCGGCTGCGATACGTCGAATTCAGCTACGCTATTCACGTAGCTGAATTTGCGTATCTTAAATCGACTCCCCCCTGTAGTGTAGATGTAGCCTAAGAGTGCTAATGATGAATGATCACCGCTATCATTACAGTTGCCATGTCCTATTGAATCTACACTGAACTATAATCTTGAGTTTCCAAGTATCTTAAATTCATAGAGAGAGATGTCCACCTCAAAAGATCACCAAACACTTCACCAGCTGATCCCAAACTGTATGTAGACATGACTTCGTCGTATGTATGTGACAGCTTCACTTTTGGGATAGCAGCAGGTTAGTCAGCAAACAGTATTTTCAGAAAAGGGGAGATCCACCTTTGTGCAGCCCATATTTTGGGCACATTCAGGGGCCCTGCTAGGTCCCAATGTAAGTCAGAGCAGCTTTAGGGCTATTCTAACTTACACTTTGTTTCCCATCATCCCCTATGAGCCCTGGGAAGCAGAGCATAACCAAAGCACAGTGTGCTCCAGCCATACCCCTACCAGCACTTAGCCTACTACCTCTCTCCCACAACTCTGACACGCCCCTTACACCACGTCCGGAAGCAAGACCACTACAGAGCCCTTACATGAGCTGTACACTGGCCAAGGAGACCTTTCTCTGTACAAGGGGTAATGTCAGCAGTTCATTTCCATGTAAAAGGGCCTTAGTGTACCTGAGAATCAGGCGCAGTGTGTACAAACCAGAGGTGGGCAGTGACCTCACAGTTCCGCAGGACTCTAACGTACTGCCTGGGTGCATGTGTGTATGTGAGGGAGGTAATGGCCCAGCTCTGCCCCTGCGCTTTAGTCATTTTATTGCTGTTGTACAACAGCAGCACACACAAGGCAGAGGGATGAGGATTGCACATGCCACTAGCAAAAAGCCAGAGAAAAATGTATATGAGGTATCCATGTTGTGTGCCTACACTGTGTATAATTTGCATATACTATGTGAGATGGACACCAAACTGCTGAAGCTTCTCTGACTCCCAGTCCAGCACTTCCTCCGCCCACCTCCCATAACATTGCACACACGTGGGTGTTTCTCCTTCCCTTGCCAGCTGATGAACCCTCCCTGTTGGGAGGAAAGGATTAAATGTAAATACAGCTGCTACATACAGTGCAAGGCAATGGAGAATCAGCGCCACTGTGATCAGTGCAGCATTGTTCCCTGCCAGCAACACTTGTGTATCGACATCTCCATGCTTACCTGGAACAGTCACCTGGACGACGTCTTCTTTATAGACACCATCGCTTGTCACTGCACACACATACTGCCCACTATCTTCTACTTGCACTGGAAGGAGCTTCACCCTAGCGACTCCATTCTCATATTGTCCTTTGATCCTATGCCGGTCCCCAGCCCAGCCCAGCTCAGTCCTGTTTTCTGTGCTATTGTAAAAATATAACGTCGTATTTTTGTTCCTTTCCAGTTTGTACATATGCACTTGAATGTTAGTGGGGACCTTTCCTATGAGACGGCAGGACAATGTCACAGCTTGTCCAACCAAGACAACTGCAGGAGCAACATGCACAGTGACAGTAAAATCACCTGCAAGAAAGGAAATAAATCATGATCACTGATTTTCTTCAAAAGCTTGAAATTGGTGTAGACAGAACAAAAGAAAAACTAGATGCAATTTCTGATACACAACAACAGTGCTATGTTTCCTGGGAGAAACTCACCCCATCTAACCTAATTACCCCCCTTCAGAATGGAGAGAGTGTTTGAGCTCCTCGCTGATAGCTCAGCTATGCACAGATTTGAGCATGAGGTGGTGCAGACTGACCTTCTCAGGGGTCGGTGCAGGATGCATAGTCCCTCCTGAAGTTCCAGGCAGAGAAGGAGCTTGGACCATCATTAAAGGTGTTACAGTGTGTTCCCCTTTTAGGGGCTGGCCAGCATGGGGAGGTGGACAGCAGAGCGAAGGCTAGACTTGGCCAAATTCAATCTTTAAAAAAAATACTTTGATGGATAATATCAGTCTATTTTTAATCATTTTTTCTGTTTTTAATCTACTGAAATTTTCAAGAGTTTTGCAGACTTATGGGTTTTACAAACTTTTTTATTTGTATCAATTTAAATTTTCACAGTTGCAGGAAATTACGGAGGGGCACACAATGGGGGTGGGTCAGACAATTAAAGTTTATAAGCATTAAAACACAAACTGTCGACTGCATTTATAAAAATTTTAGCATTAAGTCAAACTAATTTCTTACTTTGCATCTCTGAATATTTTAATTAGCAGTGATCGAAATATTTTTCAACAGTTTGTTTCTGTACAGTGAAATTGACATTTTATCGACATTTACTGATAAAAATCTAAGCCTAGTTATTGCCCTGTTTTCTGCCCAGCCCTTTTGTGTGGCTTATGCCTCTGTAAGTAGTAGGAGGGAGGAGTCCCTGAGCATAGGAAAAGCAATTGTGGTCTCCAAGGTGACACCCAGCCTGTAGAGTTTTATTGGGAAAACTCCCCCAGCCAGCCCGGCTGAGTTAGCCTTTCTGCTCCCTAGGGAAACTCACCCCTTTTCAAATGCTCTAAGTCAACCTAAGTTACGCTAGTTACATTACATAGCTTATGTAACTTACATCCATGTAATTTATATCAACTTAACATGGTTCTCTCCCATTGATATAGTTTCTGCTTCTCATTCAGGTGGATTAATTAAGTCTACCAGAAAGCACTCGCCTATCGACTTATCACTTCTTCACCAGACCCATTAAATCAATGCCACTGCATAGATCACAGGGGTGCCGATTCAGCCCATAGTGTAATCAAGGCCTCAGTCACCACATGGCACCACTGCTCTGGGTGCTGGTTCAGGGCTGCCTCCTGCTGTCAGTGTGTCTGAGCCCTAGGGTGGGAGGCTACAGTTAGGATTTTGGTAGAGTTGTTGTAATCTGCACCTTGAGACTTCCCCACCCTTCTTTGTGGTGAGGGGAAATCCTGGGACCAGAAGCAGCCTCACTCCTGCCAGCAGCAATCATCAGCCCCTCTGCAGTGACTGTGGAGGCCAGATCCATCTCTGACCCTGAGGATCATTCACAGAGTGCACCATCTTTAGATAGTCAGGGAGATTGTTTGTGAGATCCCCCAACTGCCTGAACTGTGTCCTCAAACCAGGGGGTAAGGGTGTGGAGATTTCACTACCTGCTGCCCATTAAACCTGTGGAGGGACTTACTGCCTTTTCCCACATATGAGTAGTTTGGGTGGCACTGAGCCCAGTTAGCCAAACTGTTAACTGCTGCTGCACAGAAGATATTGTGGTCACAGGCCATCAAGGGCTCCTACAAAGTACACAGACTAACAGAATACTAAATTTTATGTTTGCTATATTGGGTCATGTGATTGGAGAAATTCATTGGTATTATCTGTGTGTGCACAGGTGACCCTAAGAGTAAGGTTTTACCCTGTTATGTAATTTGTGTTATTTCTTGGGAGTCTCCAATTATCTGCCATGCAGGTGAGGGTTATCCTGGGTTAGAATGTCCATTTGGCAAATAATTCCAACTGACTGATATATTTGAAAATGTTACTTTCTGCTTGGGGAAATTTATGGGCAGATAATGAGAGGGCAATCATCAAATATAGTGAAATATGCACTCAGCCCTAATTATCACTAACAACCTAAGAAAGAAATTCCAATTCATAAAAGTAATGCAACATTAGCATGTGTAATGCAATCTAATAATGGTTGGAAATTTTTTTCCCTTCCACGAAGAGTTTTCATTTTATTCTTTTTTTGTTAAACCAAAACCCATTTTTTGTAACAAGAGTCAGCAGGGTTGGGTTTTTTAAATTTTTTTTTCTTCCTGAAAAAAATGGGATTTTGAGGTTTCTAATGAAACTTCAGAAAAATTTGATGGGGGCAGACACTTTCTACACAAAAAATAATTCAGTCAGACCCCCAATTTTCTACTAAAATAGTTCTGATGGACAATATTTTGACCAGCCTTCATACAATGTGAGTGATTTGGAGCTTTTGGCCAAAATATTCAAAATAGGGAACTAAAGAGAGACTCTTACATAGAAGTCAGATAGTCTTATTTAGGTATGTAAATATGGCTGAAATTAATCCAAAATTTTATAACAATTGGAGACTGTGATGAGCTCTTCAGGTTTTGAGGGTGGTGTGTGTGTGTGAGAGAGAGAGAGAGAGCGGGTGTGGTGCGGGGGAGAGAGAGAAAAATACATTGGTGGTGGCAACAGTGGTTGTAGCCATTCTCTGATCTAAGGATACGTCTACACTACCTGCCGGATCGGTGGGTAGCAATCGATCTATGAGGGATCGATTTATCGTGTGTAATGTAGATGCAATAAATCGATCCCCGATCACTCTCCCGTTGACTGCTGAACTCCAATGGCATATTGGGCTGCATTAGTAGGAGTATTGCCAGCAGATCGAGGGATTATTCCCCTCTATTCGGCACTGGTGAGGCCACATCTGGAGTACTGTGTCCAGTTTTGGGCCCTCCACTACAGAAGGGAAGTGGACAAACTGGAAAGAGTCCAGCGGAGGGCAACGAAAATGATTAGGGGGCTGGGGCACATGACTTATGAGGAGAGGCTGAGGGGACTGGGCTTATTTAGTCTGCAGAAGAGAAGAGTGAGGGGAGATTTGATAGCAGCCTTCAGCTACCGGAAGGGTGGGATGTTTTGGTGAACGTGATTTAAGATAAAAGCAAGTGGAAACAATGGGAAATAATCTTCCTCTTTCCAGAAGCAGATGCACTTCAGTCTGCCTGAACAAAGAAGAAGGTTCAAGTGTTGCTCTCATTTATACCTGTACAAACTCAGTGAAGCTAATAAGGGGCTAATGGGGTTAACAGAGGGCAGAATTTGCCCTGGATATTTTCACTGCGCTGAATGTGCTCCACAAAGAGAGAGACTGAGCTCCAGCGAAAGCCCCAGTCACTGCACCTTTACATAGTGTGTCTCAGCCTGAACAACCCCATCACTCTTCACAAACTTTAAAAGAAAAAAAATCAACCAAAAATGGACAAATATCACTGTTCTTTGTCGTTAATAGATGGCTGCCATACTAACAGTGGCATAGTTCAGCAAAATGGCACATGAAGGACTCATTTTGTGTAGCATAATGAGTGCAACTGCCCCCAACTGCTCAGTGATAAATATGTTATGTTAATAAGATGGCAAGGAAAGAAAGAAAATATATGGAATTGCCACAGGACTCTATTTGCAGGAAAATGACAGTAACCAGCTGCACCTGTCAATAGATTACACTAGGGTTACAGGGTCCTTTACCTGTTCCAATTCTCTCCTGGACCCGTCTCCTTCCTGGGCCCAAAAGAGCCCGTGTATCTCATGTATCTCTTTATTATGAATTTTAAGTTCACACATGAAGAGAAAACTATTCCATCATAACATTTGCAATTCTCAGCCTTTGGTTTTCTGAATTTGCTTTTGTATCTCTTAAATAATATCCAGAAGACAGCCCTGGTACCAGAGTCTCATCCAGTGAGGGAGATGAGGGGGTCAAGAACATAAAATGACACTAACTGACAGCAACTACTAATTATAACAGCACATTCAAAGATGGAACAAGCTGAGAGTCCCACCATCGAGCCTGCACAGTAAGAAGGGACTGAAGGATGCTTGGAGTGGCTCCACCCTTTATCCCCCGGCTCAGAGCATGAGGGACACCGGGACACAGGTGAGGTCCCCTCTACTGGTACCATTAGCCAAAACTCTCTGGAACTGGCACATGAGAAACACACCTAATGTAATGGGCATAGGCAATTACTCAAAGCAGAACAAAGATGTCTTATCACAATGGAATCAAGTTTGACAGTCCAAAAAGATGAGAAAAAGAGTAAGCAAAAATATCTCCTTTTTCAGCTGATGTTTTTTGTTTATTTCTGTTTCGGCCACAACATTTTGGTAATTAAATTTACAACAAAAATTGAAATTTTCTGTGGAAACAATTGGCTCCATTAGTGAATGAGTTATTCTAACCAGGCTTAACTCTATTTAGCTCAGTAGCTCTGAAAGTTCACAGGGCACTGTGGAGTGGGTCTCTGCCAACAATTAAAACTTCCCTGTGTGGAAAGCAGGGAAGCAGACTGTGGTGTGGGAAAACACAGGTGCCTAACCTCTAAATTATTATGAAACTCCTCTGTGCCGTATTCCCAGTTTATAGCAAAATTGCCCTTCTGCTTTTGCCCTGACACCTGGGCTGCTCCAAGTCAGAGCAGAAAAGTCTCCCCATGGACGGCAGCCCCAGAACATTTCATGGTGACAACTGAAACCTCAGCAGTCAGGAGCAAACATTTCTCACTGAGAATGATCGTGCATGGTGGGATGGACAGCAGAGCTAGGGTTAGACACACACACACATATATAATCAGTGATTATTTTAAAGCATTTTTCTATGTTTATTGAAATTTTCAGAGTTTTGCAGAATTATGCGGTTTAGACTTTTTAAAAAATTTGTATCAATTTAAAATTTCAGAGTTTCAGGAAATTTGAGGGGAGACATACAGAGACAATTATTTAATGACTGTAGATTCTGGGATTCAAAAAGTGAAAGCATCTAATCATGAAAACAAAAATTGTCAAGAGCATATGTTGAAATGTTAGCCTTAAATCAAACTCTAAGAAATCCTCAAGCCCCATTTTTGTTACTTTATCTCTCTGAGTATTTTGATTAGCAGCAATGGAAATATTTTCTCGTCAGTTTGTGTTCATACAGTGAAATCAACCTTTATCAACATTTACCAATACCAATAAAAATCAAATCCTTCCAAGCTTAGTTATGGTTCTGCTTTCTGCCTAACACTTTTGGGTGGCTTGTGCATCTGGAAGAAGTAGGAGAGAGTAGTCCCTGAATGCAGGAAAAGCAATTGTTCCTGGCCCTTGGCAATCTTTCTGGTACTTTGGAATAGTAACAATCATTCTGTTAGTTTAGGCTTCTCTTAACAATAACCACTGGTAGGGTAAATGTCCCATCTAAGCAGCAGTGTCACTGTGCTTTCATCCTGAAACACGGCTCTCTGTACTTTTCAGCAGCTTGAGGAGGGTGACTAATGACTTGTGTTCAGACAAGGAGCTTGGATGGTCATTCCCCTCTTCCCCAGCTAGTGAAGCAGGGTCACTGAGATTTTACACACATCTGAGATCATGTAAAAACAGCCGAAGTGATAGACAGGCTCCAGAACACAGTGATGTTATTCCCACCACAATGCCATTAGATCTCCCAAATTTTGTTTGGATTTCCCTCTTTATATTGCATCATCATTTCCTTACACATATTTAGATAGGCAGCAATGAATATGTGTATATTTATTATCTAATCAGTAATTAATAAAAAATGGTGTTCTTACCCCAATACCATTTCATGATGAAAAGCAATGGAAAGCTGATGGTGGAGACTACTTTGATTCTTAGCTGCATTGTGAAGTGATTGCAATATAATTCATCCAACTCTCTGCCAATGGAAATTGAAAACATCACAAACTGTAGCATGAGTGTACACACAACTAGAGCTGGTCAGGAATTCTTCTACAATGTGACTGTATCCGAAAATGCTTATTCATCAAAACCAAACAGCACTCCTGGCCAGGGGAGTCTGGACTTCTGTATCAGAGGACTCCCCAAACTTTGGGGGAGTTCCCATACAGCCAAAGGAGTCTCTAGGACTTGGGGCAGTCAGCTGCTCTATTTCATTTTGGGAAACCTGAATCAAAACCATTTGATTTTAAATAAATATTTTTTCAGAATTTCCTTTATGTGAGAAATTTCAAACTTTCTAGTTTTTTTTCTGAATCAAAATGAAAACTTTCAAAATTTCAGAATTTATAGATTCATAGATTCTAGGACTGGAAGGGACCTCGAGAGGTCATCGAGTCCAGTCCCCTGCCCGCATGGCAGGACCAAATACTGTCTAGACCATCCCTTACAACAGAATGGAAATTTTGAATTTTGACCAGCTCTATACAAAACTGCATTAATTTTACATGGCAACTTCTACTTTCCTGAAAAACAAAACACTAAGAAAAAATTACCCTTTGTGGAAGTAGGCTGAGGGAAGACAAGGTAATTCCGGTGATATTTAGTTAACCCTAGACACTTTCACCTGTCAGTGGCTGCATGAATAAAATGCAGACCAAGCTGTGGGTGACGTAAACTCAGCACATTCAGTGATTCTATTCTGGCCTGTGTGAAATGTGCTGATTTTTCCAGCCAAGTTTCTAATAGCAAAATGTTCTGACTAAAAAAGTGAAACAAACCACACACAAAAACAAATTAGTACTAATCTCCTCCTTTGCTGGACGGGGCTTGTGTAGGGTTACCATACATCCGGATTTTTCCGGACATGTCCGGATTTTTGGTCCTCAAATCCCCGTCCGGGAGGAATATCCAAAAAGCTGAACATGTCCAGGAAAATAGGGAGGCATGGTAAGGGGACCGCTTCCTCCCCAGGCTCCAACTTTCCTGGTTACTGCCGCTCTCCCCAGCGCAGCAGCAGCCGGAGCCCGGGAGGAGGCAGCTGCAAGCTCAGAAGCTTCCGCCGGCCAGCGCTGCTCGGACGGAACTGGGGCCTGAGCCAAGCCGGGACGGAGCCGCTGGGACCTGGGCTGGGGGTGCTCGGCCGCCGGCCGGTGTCAATCTGCCAGGGCTGGGGCCGGGCCGGAGCCGCTCGGCCGGGGCCAGTGGGGCCGGTGACCCGGGGCCTGAGCCGAGCTGGAGTCACTAGGGCTGGGGTTGGGGGTGCTCGGCCGGGACCGGCGCTCCAGGGCCTGAGCCGAGCCGGGCCAGAGGTGCCGGGGCCAGAGCCTCTTGGCCAGCCACCGGAAGGAGCCATTCGGCTGGGGGTCCTGCTGCCTGCCTGCCTGCCTGCCTGCCTGTTTCAGGCTTCCCACGAATCAAGCAGGGAAGGGGGAGAAGCAGGGGGTGGAACGTTCAGGGGAGGGGGCGGAGTTGGGGCGGGGACTTTGAAGAAGGGGCGGAGTTGGGGCAGGGATGGGGAAGGGGCAGAGTTGGGGCAGGGCCGAGACGCCTTGGAGTGTCCTCTTTTTCCAGGACCGCAATATTGTGACCCTATGCTTGTGTAGAGTAGACATCACATGGCATTCACCATTGTGGTCTGTAGTACAAGACTGATGAATTTGTGCTTTTTTTATTATTATTATTTCTGTGGCAGATGTTATGAAGGAATTTATTCTCCGCTGATCTTGAATGAGAACTTTTCACTAACAGAAAAATTATTTAAAAGAAAAAATTCAAATTCTAACTCACGATACATTGTCTTGTAAATTCACTGTATTTCTTTTCCAGCAATGCTGATTCAACTGCTACTCAGATGACAGTCACACACCTTGTAAAATAGAGACCAACATAGGAGAAGTAAGTACTTAATGTCTCTGTGAGTGAGCCTTGAAGAATGTAGTAACAATTAATGTACAGCTACTGCAGTATTTTTCTTCCCGGAGGGCTTCACAAACATAACAAACGCAAATATCAATTACTTCCTTTTACAAAGTTGCTAGAAAAGGAATTTAACACTTCATTCATAGAATATCAGGGTTGGAAGGGACCTCAGAAGGTCATCTAGTCCAACCCCCTGCTCAAAGTAGGCCCAATCCCCAGATTCTTAAATGGTCCCCTTAAGGCTTGAACTCATAACCCCCATTTTAACTAGCCAATGCTCAAACCACTGAGCTATCCCTCCCCTGCAAATGCTGCATGCTACCTTTAAACTCTGCTACTGTGTAATTCTAACTCACAATGTACTTCCTTTTATTTGTTTAAAACCTGCTGGCTATTAATTTCATTTGGTGACCCCCCTAGTTCTTGTGTTATAAGAAGTAGTAAACAACACTTCCTTATCTACTTTCTCTACACCAGTCATGATTTTATAGACCTCAATCATATCTCCCCTTAGCCGTCATTTTTCCAAGCTGAAAAGCCTCAGTCTTATTCTCCTCATACGGAAGCCGTTCCATACCCCTAATAATTGTTGCCCTTTTCTGAACCTTTTCCAATTCCAATACATCTTTTTTGAGATGGGGCGACTACATCTGCACACGGTATTCAAGATGTGGGTATACCATGGATTTATATAGAGGCAAGATGATATTTTCTGTCGTATTACCTATCCCTTTCTTAATTATTCCCAGCATTCTGTTCACTTTTTTGACTGCCACTGCATATTGAGTGGATGTTTTCAGGGAACTATCCACAATAACTCCAAGATCTCTTTCTTGAGTGGAAACAGCTAAATTAGACCCCATCATTTTATAGATATAGTTGGGATTATGCGTTGTAATCTGCATTACTTTGCATTTATCAACATTAAATTTCAAATAGGATGAAATTCAAAAAGGACATGTGTAAAGTACTCCATTTAGGAAGGAATAATCAGTTGCACACATACAAAATGGGAAATGGCTGCCTAGGAAGGATTACTGAGAAAAGTGATCTGGGGATCATAGCAGATCAAAAGCTAAATATGAGTGTAACGCTCTTGCAAAAAAAGTGAGCGTTCTTCTGGGATGTATTAGCAGGAATGTTATAAGCAAGACATGAGAAATAATTCTTCTGCTCTACTCCATGCTGATTAGGCCTCAACTGGAGTGTTGTGTCCAGTTCTGGGAGGCACATTTCAGGAAAGATGTGGACAAATTAGAGAAAGTCCAGAGAAGAACAACAGAAATGACTAAAAGTCTAGAAAACTTGACCTATGAGGGAAGATTTTAAAAAATTGGGGTTGTTTAGTCTGGAGAAGAGAAGACTGAGAGGAGACAGGATAAATGTTTTCAAGTATGTAAAAGGTTGTTACAAGGAGGAGGAAAAACTGTTTTTCTTAACCTCTGAGTTCAGGACAAGAAGCAATGGGCCTAAATTGCAGCATGGGAGGTTTAGGTTGGACATTAGGAAAAACTTCCTAACTGTCAGGGTGCTTAAGCACTGGAACAGGTTAGACAAACCCTGTCAGGTATAGTCTATATAATACTTAGTCCTGCCGTGAGTGAGGGGACTTGACTAGATGACCTCTCAAGGTCCCTTCCAGTTCTATGATTCTATTATTAGATTTTTCGATGTTTTCCTATATCTTGTTTGAAGTTTATAAATGTGAGCTAATTAGCTTGCAGATGCCTAAATTCTGCTCCTTTCTCACAATGCTTCCTTACGGCATTCTATTGATTCAGGCATCCAAAGGGGATAATATCATTTGGATGGAACTTGTGGTGTAATAATATTATTATACTCATTTCTCTTTGACGCTTGTAACCCCAAATAATAAACTACCGGTGAACTGTTTAAATAGTTAATTGCATTATGCTAATGAATCCAACTAGTTACCTATGTATGCATAGGAAACAGATTACCTTCAGAGCAACAGTATACATTATCTATTCTTCATCCCAGAAAGGGTCTGCTGTGATGATGGCTTGCTGCAACTATAAAGAAAGCTTTGGACCCAATCCTTTTTATCTGAGATTTGCTTAAACTTTGTCAGGGGAAGTCTAAGCCCACAAGACTGAGATCTCTAGGTTACTCTGGACTCACCCTGGGATTCTCATGGAAGAATTTGAACAAACTCTGCACATGGACTGCCTACTGAACTATTACCTTTTAAATTGATTTCAGAAAGACCTTTACAAATCAGCAGCTTTACTATCCCTGCTCTGAAACCGACCTATGACCTATGACTTTACCTCATATCTATATGCATGTCTTTTAACCACAGTAATTCTTTCATTTTCCTTTTATTAATAAATCTTAGATTTAGTTAATAAGAATTGGCTGTAAGCGTGTATTTTGGTGAGATCTGAAATATTTATTGATCTGGTGGGCAATGTGTCCAGATTTTGGGATTGGTAGAACTTTAGATATGGTGAATAAAATTTTTAGTAATCCTGCACTGTACTAGACTTGGCTGTGTGGATAGGAGCCAGTAGCTGCAGTGTTTAAAGGAGACTGTGTTTTGTCTTGTTAATCACCAGTGCGATAATACAGAGGCTGTTTTGTTACTGGAATTTAAGTATAGAGAAAACCAGCAGTTTGGGGGATTGTCTGCCCTATTGCTTGCAGTTTGTCATGAATATACATTCTCAGTGTGGCTGCTGCAGGCACCACAGTCAAATATAGGAGTTCATAAACATGAGATTTTTCATGGGAAAATATTTTTTTATATTATTATTTTTCAATGGAGCACTGCGAATGCACCCTAAGGACACAAATGAACAACCCAGGAACAGCACTCTTAGAAAGTGTCAGAATTTTAAGGAAGTCAAAGAATGAGTTCATATGGATATCTAAAATGCCGAAATTCTGCAGACTCTTTAACAAAACTCTGGACTACCAAACCTACACAGTTGGTTCATAGTCAGGATTTATCGGTGATTCATACGATAAATTTTTGACAGTAGTTTTCTTCTTTTTATGCTTAAAGGGCTTGTAAGTTGTGAAAACTGTTTGTTTTTGATTTTTGTTTTTGTTTTTTTAAATCCCCATGATATAATATTGAGTGATAATAATGTGGTTTTGTTTTATTTCATTTCAAATTCAAATCTTTTTCACCGCTGAATGCAATAGATTAACTGATGATGTCCATGGTTTGTTTGCTGATTATTTTTTTTCTGATTTTTTTCCCCACACTCTAGAACTTTACAAAACTTCTCCAGTCTTGGAAGAAATAGAAGAAAAAAGGAAAGAAATGAAAAGGAGAAAAGGGTCAGGAAATGGGGAGAAACAAAAACTCAAAAAAGCAAAAACTGAATGTTGAGGTCCGTGAAACCCTGAAGTGAATCAAGGTTTTCTATTAAAAGTGAAAAAAGTTATTTAATTTCATTCTGAATTTTTTCCATGAAAAATTGAAACATTTCACATTAAATTTATTTGTTCAAAATTTCTCAGAGGAAAAATTTGAGGATTTTAACCAGCTCTGATATTGTCACTTTTAAAACTTTCTTATATACATTTTATAATCCACCTGTCCCCAAATAGCGGATGGGTTTTTTTCTTTGTTTGTTGGTTTTGTTTGTTTTCCTTTTTCATAGAATATCAGGGTTGGAAGGGACCTCAGGAGGTTATCTAGTCCAACCCCCTGCTCAAAGCAGGACCAATCCCCAACTAAATCATCCCAGCCAGGGCTTTGTCAAGCCTGACCTTAAAAACCTCGAAGGAAGGAGATACCACCACCTCCCTAGGTAACCCATTCCAGTGCTTCACCACCCTCCTAGTGAAAAAGTTTTTCCTAATATCCAACCTAAACCTCCCCCACTGCAACTTGAGATGATTAATACTTCTTCTGTCGTCTGCTACCACTGAGAACAGTCTAGATCCATCCTCTTTGGAACCCCCTTTCAGGTAGTTGAAAGCAGCTATCAAATCCCTTCTCATTCTTCTCTTCTGCAGACTAAACAATCCCAGTTCCCTCAACCTCTCCTCATAAGTCATGTCCTCCAGCCCCCTAAACATTTTTGTTGCCCTCCACTTGACTCTTTCCAATTTTTCCACATCCTTCTTGTAGTGTGGGGCCCAAAACTGGACACAGTACTCCAGATGAGGCCTCACCAATGTTGAATAGAGGGGAATGATGACATCCCTCAATCTGCTGGCAATTATGCATTTCTTCACTTGAAGTAACACCAGTTATACACGAATTATGCACAAGGCCCCTTTTCCCCTCTTTCTCTTCTTTTCACCAACTGACCCCCAGTTGCCTACCCATCCCACGTACACACAGTATCCTAGTATATTGTACATCAAGATATACTTTCCTATATATATTGCTCAGTGAAGAGGGAAAAACAATAATGGGTGCTTAATGACTTCTTTGTTTCCCTCTTCACCAAGAAATTAAAAATTACTTAGAAAAGTTACATGTCTGCAAGTCACCAGCGCCTGATGAAATGCAAGAAGTAACTTTTAAAAATCCAAAACCTCAGTAAATATAAGAAATTTATCTTAGAAATCACTTCCCGGGATTATAAATTACGTTCACACACAGCAAGTTTGTGTACTCACCTCAGAATTCTCTCTGCAGACACAAAGAAGCCCGCCAAAATCCATTGGATTGTAAAAGCAGGTGAGGGCAAAGAGCAAATGTTTAAACAAGCACTCAGGAAACAAGGGTGGGGCCTGGAAGTGAATGAAAGAAAAATTCTGTGAGTTTCCGTGTGTGTGTGTGTAGTTTGTATCCTATTCCATCCAGGTAGGAGTTTTATTGCCAAAATCCACAGACCCCAAGATCTCTACATTGGCAAAGAACACGTTAAAATTACTTAGAAAATTTACATGTCTGCAAGCCACCAGGCCCTGATGAAATGCATCCTAGAATACTCAAAGAGCTGATATAGGAGGTTTCTGAGCCTTTAGCTATCATCTTTGAAAAGTCATGGAAGTCAGGAGAGATACCAGAAGACTGGAAAAGTGCAAATATAGTGTCCATCTATAAAAAGAGAAATAAGAACAACCAGGGAAACTACCAACCAGTCAGTTTAACTTCTGTGCCAGGGAAGATAATGGACCAAGTAATTAAGGAATTCATCTGCAAACATCTGGAAGATAATAAGGTGATAGGTAACAGCCAGCATGGATTTGTAAAGAACAATTCATGTCCAACCAATCTGTTAGCTTTCTTTGATAGGATATCAAGCCTTGTTGATAAGGGAGAAGCGGTGGACATGGTATACCTAGATTTTAGTAAAGCATTTGATATGGTTTCACATGACCTTCTTATCAATAAACTAGGGAAATACAACCTAGATGGGGCTACTATAAGGGGGTGCATAACTGGCTGGATAAACATCCCCAGATAGTAATTATTAATGGTTCACAATCATGCTGGAAGGGTATAGCAAGTGGGGTTCCACAGGGGTCTGTTTTAGGACATGGTCTGTTCAATATCTTCCTCAACAATTTAGATGTTGGCCTAGAGAGTATGATTATTAAATTTGCAAATGATACCAAGCTGAAGGGGTTGCAAGTGCTTTGGAGTACAGGGTCATAATTCAAAATGATCTGGAGAAACTATAGAAATGGTCTGAGGTAAATAGGATGAAGTTTAATAAGGACAAATGCAAAGTACTCCACTTGGGAAGGGACAATCAGTTTCTCACATACAGAATGGGAAGTGATTATCTAGGAAGGAGTACTGCAGAAAGAGATCTAGGAGTCATAGTGGACCACAAGCTAAATATGAGTCAACAGTGTGACACTGTTTCACAAAAAGCAAACCTGATTCTGGGATGCATTAACAGGAGTGTTGTGAGCAAGACACGAGAGGCCATTCTACCGCTCAACTCTGCATTGATTAGGCCTCAATTGGAGGCACCACATTTCAAGAAAGATGTGTAAAAATTGGAGAAGGTCCAGAGAAGATCAACAAAAATGATAAAAGGCCTAGAAAACATGAGCTATGAGGGAAGACTGAAAGAATTGGGCTTGTTTAATTTAGAAAAGAGAAGACTGAAGCGGGACATAACAGTTTTCAAGTCTATAAAAGGGTGTTACAAGGAGGAGGGAGAAAAATTGTTCTCCTTGGCCTCTGAGGATAGGACAAGAAGCAATGGGCTTAAATTGCAGCAAGGGAGATTTAGGCTGAACATTAGGAAAAACTTCCTAACTGTCAGGGGTGGTGAAACACTGGAATAAAGTGCCAAGGGAGGTTGTGGAATCCCCATCACTGGAGATATTTAAGAGCAGGTTGGATAGACATCTATCAGCGATGATCTAGATGGTGCTTAGTCCTGCTGTGAGGGCAGGGGACTGGACTTGATGATCTCTCAAGGTCCCTTTCAGCTCTAGTTTTTTTATGATTTCTATGATCTGATACTCAAACTATTGTTAAAAATAAAAGTATTTTTTGTATTCGAAAGCTCTAAAGACTCATGTCTAGTTCTCTCATCTCCACAGCTCTGTCAGAGCAAATTTCTGCCTTAAAGCTCTAACAAGAAAAAGTGAGCGTTTTTGGTTACAACTTGCCTCTTTTGAAAAAAAAATAATAAAATAAAATACACCCAAAATGAAGTGCTTACCTCTCCTTAGCATTACAACACTGAACTCTACATTATGTGACAAGGAAATTAGTGTCTATAGCTCTCTTCTACACATTCAGCAAGATACAGTTAATACAGATCAATCTTAGTCCAATCTCTGTATTTGCACAAAACTCCTTCTGATCATTTGCCACTGTTTTGTGAATGAATTGCATTTTTTCCCCATCTTCAGTTATAAAACATCCCTGTGATGCATCTAAACTTTAACTTCAGTCATTCCAATTACTCCAGAAACAAGAAGTAACTTTTAAAAATCCAAAATCTATAGTAAATATAAGAAATTTATTTTAGAAATCACTTACTTGGATTATAAATTACATTCACACACAGCAAATTTGTGTACTCACCTCAGAATCCTCTCTGCAGACACAAATAAGCCCGCCAAAATCCGTTGGACTGTAAAAGCAGGTGAGGGCAAAGAGCAAATGTATAAACGAGCACTCAGGAAACGTGGGAGGGGCCTGGAGTAGAATGAAAGAAAAATGGTGTGTGTTTCTGTGTGTATGTGTGTGTGTGGTTTGTATCCTACCCTGTCCAGGTAGGACTTTTATTCCCAGAATCCACAGGCTCCAAGATATCTACATTGGTGTACGTTACTACAGAAAGTGCAGGGCAATGATGAATTGTCTCAATGCACAATCTCCCCCATAAGGATAAAGACTAATGAGCCCTCGAGGTGGCTAAGCCTTGGTTTTCCAACCATGGAAATATCCCAACATAGAGGGGCACTTTCACAGAGCTCAGGGCAGATGTTGAAGTGGCAGTATCCCTCCATATGGAGACTTCAGCCTGGCATCCACAATGGTAGTCTGCTCACTGAGGAGCCTGTGTTGTGTTTCCCTATAACAGGGCTGGGCTTATCAATTAAGTCCCCAGGTAACACTTTCCCCTGTCCCTAGCATCTGTTTCTGGTGGTTGGTCCATTCAAATAGCAGCCCCTCTTCCAGCAGATACTAACTCAGACCTCCAGGAAAGTCACCTTTGAAGTCCACCCCTTTCCCAGGTGGCAGATTCCAACAAAATATAGATGTCTAACGTCCCCCCAAAAAGAGCCTCCAGCCCACTCCAGGCCTACATAGGCTTTACACCCTTTGCTCAGGGTTTTTAGTGCCTTTATCCCCCTTATCTTTGGGGGGGTCTGAGGGTCATGCCACCCTCTTGGGTGACTGGTAGAGGATCCTGCATCCTCCCTCTCCTTCAAGTTCCAAACCAGGGCCCAACAAGTGGCAGTGAGATCAAGGAGTGCCCTAAGGCTGCCTCCTGGTCCACTTCCTGCCACTTACTTTCCCAGTCCCGGGTGCAGTGGAAGTGTCACAACCAATCCAGCAGAAGATGGAATGAAGAGTTCCCTAATCCTTAAAGACAAGCTAGTTACTCCTCTGGGGCTGATGTAGCTGCTGTTTTCCGCTTCCTTCCTCTCAGCGGGGACTCCTGTTATACACTTACTCAGGAGTTCTCGGGATAAGTTTGTCCTATCCTCTCTGATGCCTTCTCCTAACCCCCCCACCCCACCACTCAGCTGTCTGGCTCTTTTTCAAACTCCCCCTCCACCTACAACTGGTTCTGTTGGTACGATGGAGCAGGGCCACCTGAGTCCAGAAGTGCTCCTTAACCCATCTGTCCTAGTGTGGGGTTTCTACTGGAATGTTTAGTTGAAATTTCTTGAGCTTGACAGAAGCATAATAGTACTCAAAATGTGTGTCTCCCAGCTCCACATCCTGCAGGCTGACACCCTGTTACATGCACATCTGCAAATTCATATATTTCAAGGCCAGATGGCACTGTTGAGATCATCTAGTCTGACCTGCATAACAGGACAGAGAACCTCTCCCAGTCATTTCTGCATCAAGTTGATAACTTCTGGTTGAACTGTAGCATCTCTTTGAAAAAGACATGCAGTCCTATTTTACTGATGGCAAATTCACCACATCCCTAGGTAATTTGTTCCAAGTGTTAGCTACCTTCACTGTTGAAAACATCACCTTATATCTACTCTGAATTTGTCCAGCTTCAGCTTCCAACCAGTAGCACTCATAATTTTTTGATCCTAAATTAAAAAATCCTCTACTATCAGAAATATTTTCCTCTAGAGGGGGGAGATGTGATGTGAACCCTGAGAAGTGTTATGAACTTCAGAGGTCTGTATTGAACAATGTGTTGGACAAGAATGGACTTTTGGGACAAACAGAGTCAAGTGGTTTGCCTGAGGAATCTTTAGGGAGAAGTAAATGTAAATTCCCCAACTCTGGGTATGCAAAAAACCAGCCTTTTGAAGCGACAAACTGAGGCAGGAAGCATTTTCTGCTGATTTCGTGATCTGGAGACTTAGGATCAAAGACCCAAGTTGTATAAATGAAAGACTAACCTATTCATGGATCTGCTAGTTCCAACTCAGGTTGTTGTGAACCTGTAACCATAGGAAAACTGCTGTATGCATTTTGAAGTGCTGATCACCTACTTGAGCCCGAGGATGACATTGGAGCACCCTCTAATAAACTTGTTAGTCTCTTGGTAGGTTGTTTTAATATGTTTTCTCTGTAATGCTTTCACTTTTAGAAAAAAATTGCTTGCTTAGAAACAACTGTGTGTTATCTTGTGGCAGTGGGCAATTACAGCTTTTCGTAGCCTCTAGGACAGGCCTGCACAACTTGTAAAGCAGTGAGGGCCATATTACTCCAAAGAAAACAGCTGAGGGCTGAAACCCCCCGGCCCCACCGAACCCCCCACCAGTGCTGCCGAAACACCCCCCCCAGTGCCGACCAGCCCCCGCAAAACACAACCTCCCCAGCACCACCCGCCCTGTGAAAACAACCCCCCCCCCCAGTGCCGCAAGCGAGGTTTAGGCTTGACATTAGGAAAAATTTCCTAACTGTCAGGGTAGTGAAACACTGGAATAAATTGCCAAGGGTGGTTATGGAATCCCTGTCACTGAGAGCAGGTTGGATAGACATCTATCAGGGATGATCTAGATGGTGCTTCTCCTTCTGATCATTTGCCACTGTTTTGTGAACGAATTGCATTTTTTCCCCCAACTTCAGTTATAAAAACATCCCTGTGATGCATATAAACCTTAACTTCAGTCATTCCAATTACTCCAGAAACAAGAAGTAACTTTTAAAAATCCAAAATCTACAGTAAATATAAGAAACTTATTTTAGAAATCACTTCCCTGGATTATAAATTACATTCACACACAGCAAATTTGTGTACTCACCTCAGAATTCTCTCTGCAGACACAAATAAGCCCGCCAAAATCCGTTGGACTGTAAAAGCAGGTGAGGGCAAAGAGCAAATCTTTAAACAAGCACTCAGGAAACAAGGGTGGGGCCTGGAGGAGAATGAAAGAAAGTGGTGTGTGTGGGTGTGTTTGTGTGTTTGTGTGTGTGTGTATTGTATCCTACCCCATCCAGGTAGGACTTTTATTCCCAGAATCCGCAGGCCCCAAGATCTGTACATTGGCTTCCCAAAAAAAAAGAACAAGTTAAAAATTACTTAGAAAAGTTACATGTCTGCAAGCCACCAGGCCCTGAAGAAATGCATCCTAAAATACTCAAAGAACAGATAGAGGAGGTATCTGAGCCTTTAGCTATCATCTTTTAAAAGTCATGGAAGTCAGGAGAGATACCAGACGACTGGAAAAGGGCAAATATAGTGTCCATCTATAAAAAGGGAAATAAGAATGATCCAGGAAACTACCAACCAGTAAGTTTTACTTCTGTGCCAGGGAAGATAATGGAGCAAGTAATTAAGGAATTCATCTGCAAACATCTGGAAGATAATAAGGTGATAGGTAACAGCCAGCATGGATTTGTAAAGAACAAATCATGTCCAACCAATATGATAGCTTTCTTTGAAAGGATATCAAGCCTGTGGATAAGGGAGAAGTGGTGGACATGGTATACCTAGATTTTAGTAAAGCGTTCAATATGGTTTCACATGACCTTCTTATCAATAAACTAGGGAAATACAACCTAGATGGGGCTACTATAAGGTGGGTGCATAACTGGCTGGATAAACGTCTTCAGATAGTAGTTATTAATGGTTCACAATCATGCTGGAAGGGCATAGCAAGTGGGGGTCCGCAGGGGTCTGTTTTGGGACATGGTCTGTTCAATATCTTCCTCAACGATTTAGATGCTGGCCTAGAGAGCATTAAATTTGCTGATGATACCAAGCTGGAGGGGTTGCAAGTGCTTTGGAGGATAGAGCTATAATTCAAAACAAACCCTCCTTCCCCAGTGCCGCCCCGCCAAAACAGCGGTATTGAACCTTGGTAATATCCTATAGCAAGCCCCTAAGGTAGTATAATTTGTAATCAATTGCCCCGTTGAATGAATGAGGTGTGACTGAGGAAGGCATGGAAGGCAGCAGCTCCAGACGGCTGCAACCCTTGGAGAGGGGATGGGAGCCAGACCAGATCAGTAGAACAGGTCAGCCACCCACTCGTAGCTCATCTCCTCAGCCCCCCATGCCCCGCTTGCCTCCTCAGCCCCCCTCCCCCACTGCCTGCCCGCTCGCCTCTCACCAACCCCCCTGCCACTGCCTCCCCGCTTGCCTCCTCAGCCCCCCTCCCCTGCTGCCGGCTCACCTGCCCACCGCTCGCCTCTCACCCACTCCCCTGTCACTGCCTGCCCGTTCTCCTCCTCAGCCCTCGTCCCCCACTGCTAGATCACCTGCCCCCCCGCCAATGCCCCACCCACTCGCCTCCTCAGACCCCCACTCCCCCCGCTCACCTTCTCAGTCCCCCCCCCCCCGGCTCGCATACTCAACCCCTGCCACTGCCTGCCTGCTTGCCTCCTCAGTCTCCCACCCCCTGGCCAGTGATGAGCTACCAAAATCTTAACAACTGGTTGCCTTCTCACCTCACAAGAGGGTCATGGCAACTCCTGCCCCATCCAACCTCCCATGTTCCTTGACGTCCCCCGGGACCCCTGCTCCATCCACCCCCCTTCCCTTCCCCTGACTGCCCCCCGCCACCCCGTCCAACCCCTCCTCTCATTCCTGATGGCTCCCTCGGGACCCTTGCCCCCATCCAACCACCCCTTCTCCCTGTCCCCTGCTCGCCCCTGGAACCTCTGCCCCTGACTGCCCCCCGCCACCCCATCCACCCTCCCACTCCTTCCTGACGGCCCCCCATGACCCTTGACCCCATTCAACCCCCCTGTTCCTCCCCCTCTGACCACCCCGACCCCTATCCATCCCCCCACCCTGACCATCCCCCCGAACTCTCCTGCCCCCCATCCAACCCCCCCCACTCCCTGCCCCCTTATCGCGCTGCCTGGAGGTGGCTGGCGGCACGACAGCTAGGCTGCTTGGCTGGAGCCGGGCCACACCGCCGCTGCGCAGCACCTGGAGCACTGGGTCAGGCCGCGCTCACAGCCTCCCCCCACTTCCCACAAATCAGCTGTTCACACAGGAAGCCTGGGAGGGCTGACGCAACTGTGAAAAAATGGGACGGGGTGGGGAATAATAGGCGCCTATCAAAGAAAAAGCCCCCCAAAATGCGACTGTCCCTTTAAAAATGGGACATCTGGTCACCCTATAGGTTGTTCAGACACAGATTCTTCTGTCTCCTTGGTGAAGGCTCTCAATCAGGGCCCGTTGAACCACTAGGTGAACTAGGTAGTGGCCTAGGGCGGCAAGTGGCTGGCGGCGCCCAGGGCTGTCCTTAGGCATAGGCAGCTGTGTAGGGCACCTGAAAATTTGGGGCACCACTGGGTTTTAGTGTCCACCCTACTGGTTTTCCTATCCCTGTTCTGACCCTTCCTGCAGGCTCTGAGTCTTCCTGGGAAGGGGAACTAGTAGTTAAAAGAGAAAAAGTCTCCAGCCTGCCAGACCTATTAGCACAACACTGAAACTGTTAAAGAGCCATTCAAGGGGTAATGAAGCTATCTGACAGGCATGTGCCAACCCCCAGGTATCTACTGACAAACACAGTTGTGCATGATTGTAATATTTACTCAGAACATGTCAGTCTACAGGGCCTTAGTTTTAAATTTGCTTTAAAAATATTTCATTAGTGAATTAGTGAAGATTATAAAAATCACATCTCTAAAAAATCCTTGCATAGATTTTTAGATGTACAATCATCTTTAGCCTTAAATGCTTGGATCTTCAGCCATATGGTTTTTTAAGTAAATTCTTCAAAAAACCACCCTTATCTAAAATACACATTTTAATTACTATAGTAAAAAAAACTTACTTCCAAAGTCTTCCTGTCCTTTCTGTCCATCCATTTCTCCCTTCACGCTCTCTCCCCTCCCCTATTGAAGGAAGCAACAGCCCTTTGCTTCCAGATAGCTGGACAAAGAGTTTCCCTTTCGTTACTTCTAACTATCTCATGAATTACTTTTAAGCAAAATCAGTATCTTAGTAAGATATAAAATCCTTTGTTATGCCTAAAATCTTTGGAAACATATTTTTTAAAATTGGTGAAATTTCATAAACATGTGTATTGTTATGGAGATCACACACAGTAAATTAGTGTCCCTTTTTCTAAAATCAATGAACGTTGTTGTGAACACACTAAACCTCTGTGACTGATTAATTTAAAATAATGTCTGTTTCAATGAGTTAAATATGTAGTAATCTGGAATGATTACTTTTTGAAGGCTTAAGAGTACATTTAAAATATAAAATCAGCTTAGAAATACTGATTAAGAAAATGTAAAACAGAGAAGATCTGCATCATGTATTCCATAATATTTAATGTTGTATTCAGCAAGACAGCTGACTCTCCCTTACTACAAAGGTTTTGCAAATAAATGTCTGACAAACTTCAGGGCATATCAAAAAACCTGTGACTGACATTTTTTATTCTCAAGTTTAGTGCTTTTAATTAGGTACCTTCTGCACGTCCATTCTGTGTGAGGGAGAGAGTACACGGATCTCTGTGGGGAACTGTGACTCTCCACCACCTGGAGGCAGGCCAGGCATCTTGTTATTCTTTCTAACTTGTCTCGCCACCGCTGCCCCTGCCCCCGCCCCCGCCGGGCTGCAAGCTCAGGCTGCCATAGGGTATAGGGGCACCAGTTTAATAATACTGCATAGGGCCCCATAAATCCTAAGAATGGCCATGGGGGCGCCAAAAAGTGGTGCCCTGGCTAGGCAGGGAAGACCCGCCTTCCAGAGGCACTGGAGATCCAGAGCGTCGGCTTGCAAGGGCAGGGAGCCCCAACCATGGAGGAGCTGGCACGGCGCAGGGCGGCAGGAGCCCTGCAAAGGCGGTGGCACCGCTAGCAGGGAGCAGCCGCACCGCCTGCCTCTCCTGCCCAGGCTGCAGCCTGGCTCCTGCAGGCTGCAGCAGATGCATGAGGGCAGAGGCCCCCCGGTCACCCCCCCAGTTCCCCCCTCACCACGCTTGGACTCTGTGGCTCCTGGGCACGTGAGACGCCGCCAAGTGCAGGGCCCTAAGCCTGATCCGGGAGGGGCAGCGGTGGCAGCGGCTCACAATCCTGGGAGTTATAGAGCCCGAGTGCATCAATGGGGAAGCCGGGGGGGCGCACCGGGGCCTCTGCCCACATGCATCTGCTGCAGGAGCCCCCAGAAGGCAGCTCCTCCCTGCCGAGCTGCTGCAGCGGCCCAAGTCTGGCAAAGCCAGTGAGTGGACATGGGGTGTGGCCACCAGGGTGCTGTGCACCCTCCAGGGGAGTTCAGGGGGTGGGCAGTGGGGAACCTGGTCTGTGGAGCAGCCCTTGGGCATGGCTGGCCCCTGAGGTCTATAAAGGCTCATTGGGATTTGCCCCTCAATGAACCGATGTTACGGGGGGGCACAAGGTGGAAGTTTCACCTAGGGTGCAAAATATCCTTGCTCCGGCCCTTCACTGTGCTCTGTGTCAAAGAAGAGGCAGAGGAGGGTAGGGGATAGAAGCAATGGGGACCACACAAATAAATCTGATGTCCTGTGCAGACTTGTGTTGTCTCTTAAGATATCCCTAAATGGAAACATAATTTAGTCATGGATTCCAAAGCCTCTGCTGGGCACAATCCAAAGTGGATGCAGAGCACTGGGGGAAAAGGTTTCTGAAAAGCCAACTTTGCTGTTTATCCAAGAGTTCAGAGTATGGGCTGTATGGCTTGTGCTGTAGCCCATGGTCTTTAGCAACTTCACAAATAGAAATCAGTGTCCCTCTGTCCATTTCACCGCAGGCAGGCAGGTGGGGATGGAGGGGTTCAAACACCACTTGGATCAATGCTCTCCATCCTAGCTCAGGCTTCGTTTGGTTTCCTTCATCCCCCTCCCAAATCCTGGTAGCTTATTCTGGGAAGTTTCTCAGGCAGCATGGCCTTTCAGGAGAACTG